GTCCTGGATTGTGAGAGGGATGTCTGACTGCTGGTTTAGGCCCAACCCCCAGAAAGGGTTCCAGATTGGAGAGGGTGCAGGCTGGGCTGAGGGGATTGCCCTCCCTCCCTGTGCATAAATTTTGTGCATTGAGCCTCTAGTCATATTATATCTATCTATCTAATATGATATATTATTACATTATATATACAATTTATCCTACTATAAAAATCACCCAATAATTTTTATTAAAATAGATTAAAAATTGCCCTCTATCCCTGGCAGGTGTGGCGCGGTGGATAGATCATCAACCCATACACTGAAAGGTCAAGGGGTTTGATTCCCAGTTAAGTGCATGTCCCTGGGTTGCAGGTTCAATTCCTGGTCAGAGCAGAAGGCAATTGATAGATATTCCTCTCTCACATCAATGTTTCTCTCAATCTCTCTCTCTCTCCCTTACCCCTCTCTCAAATCAATAAGCACATCCTGGGGTAAGGATTAAAAACACACAAAAACCACCCTGGGAATATTCAAAAGTCTAATTGGGTAACTATTATTGCACAGATGCGCTGAGCTCCTCCTCTGAAACGTGTGCCCTTTCTCTTCCCACCGCCCTGGCTCCACCCTGGTCTGAGCCACCAGTCTCCTGTTGGGATGCCTGTGACACCCCCCTTACCTGGCCGCCTGCTTCTGTTCAGGCCCCTGACAATCAACCCCCCACTGAATCCCCCAAAATGCCAGCTTCTCTGCCTCTGCCCCCCCACCGCGCCCCCCAGCTTCCTGTGCTTGGGTCAGGAAGGTTAACTAACTAACCTTTGTTAGTTAAGTCTGGGTTGAGAACATCTCATCGAGGCCTTCCTTGACCAACCCATGTAACTCAGGACCCTCAATCCAATCACCCTCTCTAACCTTCCCTGGGGCTCCTTCTCTAGACCAGATGTCTGATTATCTTGTGAGGCATGGTCTCCTTGCATGCTGATCAGGGTCTCAGGGAGGTAGGACAGGCTATTCTTGGGAATTGGGGAAGGAAGGGGTGGTTGGAAAAGTATGGAGGTGCTAGCCTGGAGTTCCTAATGACCACTCTTTCAGATCCTTACGTCCTTCCAGGCCTGCGCCGTTTGCGGGCACCGTCTCTTGAAGCCCTTACTGTTTTCAGGAAAGGTTGGCATTCACCGCAGTGGAGCTAGGACTTTAATCCAAGCGTTTTTCACCCCAGAGGAAGCATCCTATTCTGATATCACACTCTCTCCCTTCCCCAGGCACCATCTGGGAAATGAAGGAAGGGAAACTTCCTGGGTTCCCAGCCCTGAGGCTGCAGAGAGATGAATACCCACTAGAGCTAAGTCTGGCAACCGGGCCTCCACCCTGCTTCCTGTTAGAGTGGCCGAGGGTTACTCAAGGTCACAGCTGAGGAGCCAGCCAGGTCTTGGGACATCCTTGGCTGGCTCCCTCTTCTGAAACCCCCTCCCGGGGTCAGGTACCCATAGGCTCCTGCCCTGTGGGGTAGGCCCAGCCAGGATGAATGAGAACACACCCATGTAAGTCTTCAGACCTCCACTTCCTGGGCTGTAAATGGGAGCACATAAATGGGAGCTGCTAATACCGTGTTCCCCCGAAAATAAGACCTAGCATAACTTAAGGGAGAAAAAATTAATATAAGACACTGTCTTATTTTCGGGGGAACAGGGTATCATTCTTCTTCTACCTGGTGTTTTCTGAATTATGGGATAACCTGGAGAGAAATACAGGGTGGGGCAAAAGTAGGTTTACACTTGTGAGTATGCAAACCAGTTTATTTTATTTTATTTATTTATTTATTTTTAAATATATTTTATTGATTTTTTTACAGAGAGAAAGGGAGAGAGATAGAAAGTTAGAAACATCGATTAGCTGCCTCTTGCACACCCCCCACTGGGGATGTGCCTGCAACCAAGGTACGTGCGTGCCCCTGACCAGAATCGAACCCGGGACCTTTCAGTCCGCAGGCCAGCGCTTTATCCATTGAGCCAAACCGGTTTCGGCCAAACCAGTTTATTCTTGTATTATTATTTATTATTGTACTATCGTCCATACAAACAACTGTAAACCTCCTTTGCCCCACCCTATAAGGCTGACACCCAGTTTTCTGTCTGGGAAGCAGGAAGAAATCAGAAATCTGAGTTCTCCAGTTACATGTCTGGACCTAACTCATCTCTAAGTCTAATGGATTCTGTCTCTCAAATTCCCCTCAGACCCATCCTCTGGTTTCCCCCCAGCGCTGAGGTGCCACCATTATCATCCCTTGCCTGGATCACATCAGGCCCTTCACCTGTTTCCCATCTTTCCCCCTCCAGCAGAGCACGCCCTTTACAAAAAAAAAAAAAAAAAAAAAAAAAAAAAAAAATCAGCTGCTCAAAATGTGTGAATGGCCCTAACCAACGTTGCTTAGTAGATAGAGTGTCGGCCTGCGGACTGAAAGATCCCAGGTTCGATTCCGGTCAAGGGCATGTACCTTGGTTGCAGGCACATTCCCAGTAGGGGATGTGCAGGAGGCAGCTGATCAATGTTTTTCTCTCATCAATGTTTCTAACGCTCTCTCCCTCTTTCTTCCTCTTTGTAAAAAATAAAAAATATATATACATTTTAAAAATGTGTGAATGACTCCTTTCTTGACTGTGTTCTTCAAAACTTCAAGATCCAGCCACTACAGACTTTCTAGCCCCATCTCTTTTTTATTATATTTTTATTGATTTCAGAGATGAAGGGAGAGAGAGAGAGATAGAAACATCAATGATGAGAGAGAATCATGGATCGGCTTCCTCCTGCATGCCCCCTACTGAGGATCCAGCCCACAACCGGGTCGTGTGCTCTGACCAAGAATCCAACTGGGATTTCCTAGGTCCACACTCAACCACTGAGCCACGCCCGATGGGCTATCCCCATCACTTGCCAAATTGCTCCCCCTCCCCCTATTGCCAAAATGCAGCCTGATGGGGGTACCCATAGCTTTCTGTGGGCACCGTTCTCTCTGGCCGCTGGGCCTCTGGAGGCTCCCCCCGGCCTGGACCCTGTCTAAGCCAGTGCATGGGTGGCTTGGATTACTTTGTGTCAGAAGCCTTCTGAGTCCCCATCCCCACCACCCTGCCAACACTGAGCACCCCCGGTTCCCTGCAAGCCCCCTATTACAATTCTCATCCGCCAGTTTGTCGTTGTCAGCTTCACCTGTTCTTGAACTTGGAGAGGACGGAGAGGGCAGGCCTACCAGACTCACTGCCTTTGGGGACGGAATGAATGAACTGCAGTGTGGAGCAGGCCTGGGAGGTTCTAGGCTCCGGAAGCCGTCTCTGCACCCAGGGCAGTTAATCTAGTTGGCTTCTTTCTTATCTAGTCCATGATAAAAGGCTTTAGATAGCAGTTTGGGATGGGAGAAGCTCCAGATCAACCCCTCCGCAAAGCATTTGCAGACACTTGTTTCCTCAGAGCGAGAACTGGAGAAAAGACGCTGTAAGACCAGCTTGATCTACCGTGTTTCCCCGAAAATAAGACATCCTCTGAAAATAAGACCTAGCTCATGGAAAGATAAGACATCCCCTGAAAATAAGACCTAGTGCAACTTTGGGAGAAAAAATTAATATAAGACACTGTCTTATTTTCGGGGAAACAGGATAGTCCCCCACCTCTCTGGTGTGCTTTGGGTAAGGGGGGGGGGGGAATGGGACTTGCTACCTTCAGGGTCTAATAAAAGGATCAGCGAGCTCAGGTCGCGGGGGACACTCGCGGGGCCATTCTAGCCACAGTGTTCCTATTGCTTCTTCTCTTCATTGTTTCTTTTTTTCATCGCTCCTGCCCGCCTCCTCGCTCCGCCAGCCCCGGCTTCCCGCCCTGCGACCTCCCACCGCCTTCCCGCGGTCCCTCTCTCTTTTCACTCCGCCCCGCCCCGACCGAGAAGGCGGGAGCCAGCCTCGCGGTGCACCAATCCGAGAGCCCCGTTCCGTCTCTGCCTCCCTAAGTCCCGCCCCACGACGCCAACCACCAATCACGCCCCGCGCCCGCTCCGCCGGGCCGCCCAATCGCGGACGAGCTAGGCCGCCGGCGCCCCGCCCCCTCCCGCGCTGCCGCGGCTCCGCGGGCGGCGGAGCTGGGCCTCGGCATTCTCGCCGCCGCGGCGCCGCGCAGCCTGAGCTGTGAGAGGTCGCGGCGTCGGGAGCGCGGGCGCCGGCGCGGCTGCTCGCAGGGCGCTGTGTAGAGGCGGCGGGCGAAGCGGTGCCGCCGGCCGGCCGGCCGGAAGGGCGCCTCCGCTCCGCCGCGGGGCCCGCGGTGCGGGACCCAGGACCGAGAGGAGGCGGCCCCCTCCCTGCCTGGGGCCGGGCCCAGGGGCGCCTGGAGGGGTCTCGCGCGGCCGGACGTTTCCAGCCCGGAGCGTCTCCAGCGCGCCTCCCGGAGAGGCCCCCCGAGAGCTCCGGGCCGCCTCCGGGGGTGCCCTCCGCCTCCTCGGACTCACCTGCGCCGGCCGCCGGGCACCCCGGCGCGGGGGCGTGTGCAGTGCGGGCGCCTCCCCCGGCCGCCAGCGAGGCGGGGGCGGGTCCGCCCGCCGCCCTCGGCCTCCCGGGCCGCCCGCCGCCCTCAGTCTCACCGGTCCGCCCGCCTCGCTCAGCCGCGCGGCGTGAGCTCTTCGGGGACCGCGGGGTCGGGATGCTGCCCGCCAGCGCGGCCACCCGCCCGCCGCGCGCCGCTCCGGTCCTCGCTCCTCGGGCCATGCCCCGCGTCTCCCGTGCCGGTGCAGCCCCCGGCCCCGCCGAGCGCCGCCGAGCCCCAGCTCCCCGAGGCTGAGGCCGGCCGACCCGCCAACCGACTGTCCGCCCGGACCCGGGCCCTCGGACTCCGCTCCCCGCCCGCCTGCCCGGCCGCCTCCGCCACCCTCTGGGCGGGCTCCGGCCCTGGTGTGCTGAGGAGGGGGTGTGGTGTAGGGAAAGGAATCCTGGGGATTTCTGGCTCGCCCCCTCTTTTTGGCCTTCGGGGCTGCAGACTCAGGGAACTCGCTCATGGCTTTCTTGATGAAGAAGAAGAAGTTCAAATTCCAGACCACGTTCACCCTGGAGGAGTTGACGGCGGTCCCCTTCGTGAACGGGGTCCTCTTCTGCAAGGTCCGGCTGCTGGATGGCGGGGATTTTGTCAGCTTGTCGTCCAGGTAAGGAGCTGGGGGCGGTCTCGCCTGCGGGGGAGCGGGGTGGTAAGCGGGTGACGAGTGTGGGAGCGCCCCTTGGGGCCCAGAGAGTCCTGAAGGTTATGTGTGTCCGGGACAAGTTTGCACAGGGCAGGTAGGGCTGAACGACCTAGGAGGTCTGGGCTGAGGGATCTGACGGGGTGCCCGCACCCCCTGTGCAGGGAGTCTGTTTTCAGCCCTCTCTTGGGGCGTCCATGCAGCCTGCTGTATGTAGCTCCCCCATTCTGCAGACCTGCACAGAGCCCAGCGGTTTGTGCCATGAGAGGCCGGGATGGGGAGGCTGGTTCTGGCCACCTTGCACCCAGATGGCCACTCGAGCTGTCCCTATGATCCAGAGCCCGGGGCAGCCACAGTTTCCCGGGCTCTCCCAGCTCGGGGAAGGCCAGCCCCCAGGTACCACCCCCTCCCCCGCTTGGGGGGGGCGGTGGCTGGATTTTGACATGCCCAGCCCCCTCTGAGTGACAGTCCTGGTCTAGCTGCAGCCGGGGTGCTTTGCATTGCAAACGCCCTTGCCTAGGAGGCTGCAGCCCTCTCAGAAAGAGGTTTGACCAACTTTGGTTTTGCGTTTCCCCATCCTGCAGGTGAGGCCAACTGCCGCTGGCTGGGTCGCATAGTCCTGGCCCACGGGGCGTGCCTGAGAGTGTGACAGAGAGGGGCTTCAGTCCTCGCTGTGTCACCCTCTGGGCCAGTACAGGTGTCTGAGTGTGGTGGAGATGGTTCAGCGGATAGACGGCGGTGCAGGGCCTGGCCCAGTGCCTAGGACACCCTGGATCCCTTCCCTGGTCTGTCCCTCGGCCCCTTGGGCCTCCTGTGGACCCGGTTAGCCGGAGCCTCACCACGGTTCGGAGGCCGGGTGCTCGTTAACGGGGGGAGAAACTGAGGCCCAGGAAAAGGAAGTCGGTGGCTGGCCGGGGACGTGTGGGTAGGCAGTCGTCCGCGGCAGGGGAGCTTGGCTTGTTTGCAGACCTGTTGGATGTCTCTGGCGGTTGAATGTTCTGTTGGGAGGAGAACCGTGCGGCCTGAACCCAGATTGAGGACTCTCTGGTGTGGACGGGGTGGGGTGCCTTTTTGGTGCATGTGAGCCCACGCAGGCCTGGAGGCTATCCAGCCTACGGGGAGCTGCTTATCTGAGGAATTCAGACTAGCGATGCCCTTGGTTGAGGGGTGGGTAGTGGGATGGGTGGTGGATATATGGTCGCAGGTGATCCCGGGGCCACCCACAGCCCCAGGCTTCAGGGAGGGGGCTGTGCTCATAGCTGGGGCCTGGGGGTGAATTGGGGCAAGTTACCTAACCTCTGTCATTCCAACCACCGGCAGTCATGGGTGCTCTGCTCTCCGTTTTGCTAGCACCTTTCACTTAGTTCTTGGACTACTCCATGGAATAGGGTGGAGATTATTATCCCCATTTTATTTATTGATTGATTTTAGAGAGAGAGAAACATTGTTGTGAGAGAAAAATATCAATTGGTTGCTACTCAAACGCTCCCCCACCAGGAATCCAACCTGAAACCTGGCTGGGAGGGGTGGGGGGTGGGGGGAGAGGTTAATGTCCCCTGACCAGGAATCGAACCTACCACCATTTGGTGTACGGACAACACTCCAACCAACTGAGCCACCCAGCCAGGGCTATTATCCCCATTTTATAGAGATGGAAACTAATGCTCAGAGAGGAAGTGATTTGCTTGAATTTATACAGCAGAGCCCAGATTCAAACTCAGGATGTGCTTTTAACCATTATCTGTCCTGCCTTTGAGCCTTAGTTTCCTATTCTGTGAAGTGGGAGAGGTCACGCTCACCCCTGGGGCGTGAGGTGGGGTGGATAATGTACATGCCATGTCTAGCTCAGCAAATGGTTGCATCAGTTGTGTCTATGGCAGAGGGGCCCCTCCTTCACCCCTCCCAGGTCTTAGGGGGACCAGCTAGAGTCAGCAGGAGGCCTACCTGTGAACTGGGGTTCTTGGGTCCTCCTGAGGAACTGGTGTTCAGTCCCAGGCTGAGGTCTCTCCTGGCCTGCTAGGCCCTGGGGCCACTGTCACCCTACCTGTTTGCCTTCCCATTGCTCTAAAACCTGCCCTCTCATCCGGGAAAATCTGGAAAGTTCCTGGTCTCAGCCCACAGCTGCTGGATTTCACCTCTGCCTTCCCTTCTTCCCTCCTGGCTGCGAGCCATGGATTCCCTGAACCGGGCCCAGACCTCACAGCCTTTCCCAGCCTCATTGTGGATGAAACCTGGGTGGGGCTGAGGGGGGAAGAGCTGACATGGAGCCCCCAAAGCTGGACTCCCGGTGCCTGTTTGCTGCTGCGAGGTGTGGCTGGAGGGAGCAGACCTCAGGGTTGGGATCTGAGGCTGCTTTAGAGCTTTGGATTTTGCTCAAGAGATAGGAGTTTCTGGTGTTTTGTTTTGTTTTTTAATTAACCCCTCCACTCCAATCTCACCCTTGCTGGTCTGTGAGCGAGAGCCTCATCTCACAGCCTACCCCTCCAACGGACAGGCTCCAGTGTTTTGGAGTTGGGGGCGATGAGTCTTGCTCAGTTCCTGGACCCAAATCCAGTAGCGTACTTGCCTCTACGCCAGGGACCCCTCAGACAGCCCAGAGACCGGTGGCAGCCGCATGGTGGTGTCTGAGAGAAGCAGGCCCGAGGCCCCACCCATGCACACCCGCCTTCCTGGTTGGAGTGTTTTCCTATGTGCTGGGTGCCATAGCAACAGCCGGGTACACAGCTCGCGCCTGACCCATTTTGAGCAGGTAGAGCAGGTGGTTTGTCGCGCTGTTCCCAGCGTCATCTTTCCGACGCCTCCTTCGGAGCCATGGCCCTCACAGCGCCCGTGTTTCTGAGCGCCCGTGCGGTGTGCCAGGTGCTGTGCTGAGAGGCCCAGGCAGCTGCCAAGGTCCATTTGCAGAGTTTGGACCTTGGTACGTCCGTTAATCCTCTTGGCCATGCCGAGAGGCACCAAGGCCAGAGAGGTGAAGCCACATGCTGTAGGTCACTCGACTGGTAATTTAATTGGGAAAAGAACCCTTTTAGCATTAGGGTTTAAACCGCCTTTGGTTGTTCATTTACCGTATGCCAGGCACCTGCCGAGCACATCCAGTGCATGATCTTCAGGCCACCCCATGAGCTGATGAGGAAGCTGGGGCCAGGAGACCTAAAGTGACTGGCCCATGTCACCCAGCTGGGGAGTAGCAGGACTGTGGTTTACATCTGGGCTGATCCAGCTAGGAAGTCCTGCCTCGCCTTGGTGGCAAGAGGACTGGAAGCAGCTCGGGCCCCATATGATGTCCCCAGACCTTTGGAGAAGATGCTTTTCAATGGGCTGGGGGTTCTAGGAAAATCCAGATATGGATAATTTTGAGGCACTGAGCTAGATGCTGTGAGATGTGAGGAAACGGGGCCCTGGGGACATAGATGGGGGTGGGACTGAAGTCCCCGCCATGGAGTTAGAGCCAGGCACAGGCTGGTATGGTGAGCATGTGCCAAGGACCCTGTCCCGAGGGAGGTCTTCTGAGCTGGTGCATCCAGATGGCATCTGGACGGCTCTTCCAGGGACGCCAGGGGGTGGGGACTATGCAGCGGTCCCAGCCAAGTCTGGTGAGGCTGGAAGCAGTGGGTTGGGCTGTGGTCTCCTCAGAGTGGTCTGGGAGCCAGTTTCCAGCCTCAAGCTAGTCTGCCCTTCAGGCAGGCACAATTCCAACCATCCTAAGGCCTGGCCCGTGCACGTGGCGGGTGGTGTCAGGGAAAGCAGTGAGAGGGATGTACCTTACAGCAAGTCCTCTCTGGAGGAGACAGGCAGAGTGTCTCCTCAGCCAACACAAGAGGAAACTGAGGCCTGAGGCGGAGAAATGGCTTTTTTGGGTCACTTCATGGCAGGAGCTAAGGGCACCGCTGGGCGCATTCTGGTTTGGCCCCGACCTCTGTCCCCTGTGCCTCAGTACCTTTCTTGTATGAAGGGGACAGGCAGGGCCAGAAAGGGAGGAGGGCTCCTTTGCTCTGGACTCGGGTGCCAGGCTCTCCAGGAAGCAGACTGTGTGACTTGGGGAGACACCTCCCCCTTCCCTTCTTTTGGCAGCTTTGCACCTTCAGTTGTCTCCTCAGTGGGGTTCTATGTGGGAACCTGTTGAAAGAGGGCACGCCTGCTCCCAGCACCGGCACCGCCTTCCCACCGTGGGCCGGGCTGTGAACCAGCTGGAATGGAGGCCTCAGAGGGATGCTTGAGATTTTTGGGACATGAAGGAGGCCTCGGACAGGTCAGTTCTGCAGCCGGAGGCCAGTGCCCAGGTCTGGCCCAGCCAGGTCTTTGCACATACACCACAGGCTTGGCCGGCCTCCGATTCCCCAAGGCTCCCTCTCCCTCCCTCTTGGAAAAGGCTGCTGAACGCCGCTGCAATCTGCTAGTGGTCGGCAAACTGCCTGATATGCCTGCTCTCACGGACATCTTGGTGTGAAGGGACACGGTTTGTCCCTTGGGGTTGAGGGGGCTGGGATATGGAGGTGCTGTGGGATCCCAAGGAGGGCGGGGCCTTCATTTTCTGTCACAGAGCAGGAGCACTGGAGACGAGTGTGGAGAGGGAGGAAGAGGCATGTTTATTGCCCTTGGTGAGCACTCCTGTGGAACCAGACTGCCCTCTTCCACGAAACTCCCCGTGGAGTGGGAGCAGTGCATCCCAGAGACATCAGAGCAGGTAGATGTGGGACAGGTCTTCCCCAGAATTCCATTCGATTCTGGTGGACCAATTGGGGAAGGCATTTGTTTGACACGTGCTGATTGGGCACCTGCCCCAGGCTGGACACAGTCTTAACTTCATGGAGCTCATGGTTTTATGGTGGGGCACATCGTTGCAATGGGAGGAGGGCACCCTGAGTAACTGGCTCTTAGGAGGAACCTGGAAGGAGAATTGGATTGGAGAGAGGTTGGGAAGAGCCTTTAGGGTCGAGGCCCTCGGCTACAAAGCACTTGGTCAGTGG